GACTGCTGAGGTGTTTTTCCCACCACAGGAATGTTAAATGTTATTATATTATGGTCACTATTCCCAAGCGGTCCTGTAACAGTTATCTCCTGGACCTGATCCTGCACTCCACTCAGGACTAAATCGAGAATTTCCTTTCCCCTTGTGGGTTCCTGTACCAGCTGCTCCAAGAAGCAGTCATTTAAGCCATTGAGAAATTTTATCTCTGCTTCTCTTCCTGAGGTGACATGTATCCAGTCAATATGGGGATAATGTATCGCTGTCCTGGTCAGGTGGTCGGTAATATATCCCTACTGCTAATTTCTTATTATTGGAGCATGGAATTACTATCCATAGTGATTCTATTGAACATGTTGATTCATTAAATATTTTTATTTCATTTGATTCTACATTATCTTTCACATACAGTGCCACTCCGCCACCCACCCGGCCTGCTCTATCCTTCCAATATATTTTATATCCTGGTATGATTGTGTCCCACAGATTTTCCTCATTCCACCAGGTTTCAGTGATGCCTATTATGCCAATCTCCTCCTTTAATACGAGGTACTCTAGTTCACCTATCTTATTAGTCAGACTCCTAGCATTTGTGTAGAAGCACTTTTAAAATTTGCCACTGCTTATTTGTCTGCCCTTCCCTGATGCATTGGATTCTTTTATACGCGGTTCTTTGTCTGCTCTGGCCCATGGTTTGTCCTCTCCCCTTCTCTCTTTCTGACTACAGCTTAGAGAATCTCTATCAATGGATTCTCCTCTAAGAGAATTCTCCATCTGATTTATGTGCATCTCCGCACCAATCGGCTTTCCCCCATCTCTTAGTTTAAAAACTGCTCTATGGCCTTTTTAATGTTTAGTGCCAGCAGTCTGGTTCCACCCTGGTTTAGGTGGATCCCATCCTTCCTGTATAGGCTCCCCCTCTCCCAAAAGTGTCCCCAGTTCCTAATAAAGCCAAACCCCTCTTCGCTACACCATCGTCTCATCCACGCATTGAGACGCTGAAGCTCTGCCTGCCTACCTGGCCCTGTGCTTGGAACTGGAAGCATTTCCGAGAATGCCACCATAGAAGTCCTGGATTTCAGTCTTTTTCCTACCAACCTAAATTTGGCCTCCAGGACATCTCTCCTACCCTTCCCTACGTCATTGGTACCTACATGTACCACGACCACCGGCTCCTCCCCAGTGGATGTCAAATTAGTCCAGACTTCACAAACAACTGTAATCTACAGTGATGGCAGGGGCGTTAACAGACTTACCAGGCCCGTGGGCAATGTCTGGGGTGGGGAGGACAGCTCAGTACTCCTAGAAGGGGTAGTGCCGTGGGCAGAAGGGGCTGGGCTTGGAACAGCCAGATCTCAGCACCACTGGAAGCACGCTACGCTGCCCTCTCCATTCCCTAGCCAGCTCTTAGTGCTGCCTGGAACATTCCGCGTGTCACTCCAACAGCGATTCAAGGAGGCCAGGGCTCCGGCTGCTGCTGCAGGCCGTGGGCCCGTTTGAATCGCCAGGCCCTGGGGCAACTACCCCTTTGGCGGGCCTGAGTGATGGCCAAAATTTTCAAAAGTAACTGGTGAGTTAGAGCACCCCAAACTTAGGGTGCTCAATAAGATATTTTGAGCAGCTTAATTTTTCAGAGGGGCTCGGCCCCCTCAGAAATCAAACATTTTTGAATACATCTTGAGCAGGGCACTGAAAGGCGGAACATGCCCTATTGCATTCCACTTAAGAAAATGGTGGCTGATGGGTTTACATTTTCAATCTCAAGACATGAAGTGAATTGTCCAGTTTGGACCCAAACATTTCTTTTTCTTTCCTTTTCCAGCATTCTGTCTATATCTGAGCACATAGCCAGAGAAGCCTTGGTACAATACACAGCCCATAAGTGCTGCTACAGAATTGCCCCGGCAAAGCGTATGGTGATCCAGAACTTGACTCCGCTCAACACATTCAGAGTGAGTATATGTAGTATTGCAAAGAGCTGACCAAATTTAGAATATCATGGCTGGTTTAGCGAATAGGTCTGTGCTTTCAGACATAAGTAACAGTGGGCAAAATATTCTCAACTAAATCTGAAATGGTCAAAAATTTAACTTTTTTCATGTTATCATATTAAAAATGGTTCCATTTCATAATCCCTCCTCCCTCTTCCTTAGCCATTTGCAGGTAAGATAGGCCTGTTACATTTTTCTTTGCTCCAAAATGTGGTCCTTTCTCTGGTCATACTATGGAGACTCTGGGCATGTATGCGCATCTGTGTGTGTGTGTGTGTGTGTGTGTGAGAGAGAGAGAGAGAGAGAATTTGAAGTATATCTCTCCCTACATTTAATATTTTTCAGAGAAGTTCTTGATATCATAGACTTTGCCATTGTGGACTGAGAAGTGTGAGTTTTACCCACTGTATTGTGGTTAGGCATCAGCCAGAACAAGACAAAGCCCAATATAGGTTGAATCTCTCTGGTCCGGCAACATCTGTGATCTGGCATGATTTTAGATAACTGGATGTTCATTTGCCTGGGTGTGGCCAAGTTTCCTACCATCCCATGAAGTTTGTTTACAGCCCCCAGTCCTGGTTCTCAGTGTTCTGTGCTGTTATTTAGCTCTAATTTACCCCTAAATGTCTTCTAAGAGCCCAGTAAGCAGTAGAAGTATTTGTGATGCTGCTGACAATACTGATCTCCCATAGTGCAGTAAATTCTCTGGTTTGGCACCGGTCAAGACCTAAGAGGGCTGTACTTGAGAGGTTTAATCTGTACTGAGATGGTTAGGGCTGCTGATGGGTAGGTAAAAGTAGCAGTGCTCTGGGGCCCAGCAATTTAATTGTTGCCTTTAAGTCATTTCCAGAGCCCTGGGCAGTGTGAGCCAGGAAGCACTGAAGGACTGTCTGGAGGAATCTAACCTCTAGTCTCTCCCCTTCTCCCCAGGACCCTGTCCCCACTGGTGGGCCCAGAGCTGTGGCCCCCCACCTTGCCCAGGGACTGTCAGCAGCCATGGAAGTGACTTATGCTAGTGCAGTGACTCCCAATGTGCATCTTCCCCAAGTTTCAAACTCTTCACTTTTAGTATTGTAGCACAGCTCTACCCCACCTGCCCTTTTGCTAGCATGTCTTTGTGATGTCAACACTGCTTATGCCTCAGCCAGACACGGCACTCTCCATGCTATTACCCCGCAATACAATCATTTATCATTTCCCCTATTTTATTGCTCTGTCTAGCTCTTGCTCTTGAAATCAGGACAGCTTTTACCACCCTAACACAGGACTCAATTCTGCTCCCCAGTAGAGGTTGTGCCATTAGTTGTAATGGGCGCAGAATTAAGCCCAAGATTGCATCGCCCCCTAGCCGAGAATGAGAAGCAGCTTTACATTGAAAGGTGACTGCTGTTTGGTCTTAATTACCAGTATCGTCTGCAAACCTTCACTGAAGCCAGAGAAACATTCCCGATCAGCGAGCCTTATGATGGTAAGCAAATCAGCCCTCTTACCTAGCAGAGAGTGAACAATATTGAACAATATCCCCTGTGGAAGGGAGTGACTCTGAGTGGACTGATGGACTTAACAAATGACCACGTGCTCTTTGACTGCTCGCAGACCAGCAGAACTGCAATGGGCAATATTTTGAAAAATGGCGACTGATTCGAAATGCCACAAATTTGGAATCCAAATTGAGATCTCCAAGGGCCTGATTTGATAATGAAGCCTTTCACCTGTTCAGGAGGTTAGTTCAAATCCAGCCCACTTTGGTGGCGACTGAAAGGTTTAACAATTGTAATTTATATTTCAAACTTTCTTTGCCTGTCACCTTTTGTGACATTTGTTTACTCTTTGGATTGTGGACAGTGAAACAACCTGAGCCTTTTGGATAGGTACTCTTGCAGTAGCTCACTGGCAATCCCATTCTGGCATTGTAGTCTAATCCCCACCTTCATCCTGTTCTCCCTGATTTAAAAACCATTCGAAAATATTTATCCTCATGTAATGGTTTATAAGAGACAAGGAAAGGGGTAGGCAATGGGGAAGGAAGAACAGATAAACATGCCAGTGGTAAGATAGGCGAAGGAAAAGTACAGAAGGGAGAAAAAGTGGGCAAGAGAGAGAGGTAAGAGAAGAAATGAAGGGAGACAAGAGTGGAAAAAAGCGAGTTGGAGAAAAATGAAGGAAAATTGGAAGTGGAAAGTGAATATTTGAAGGGTGCTAGCTGAGTGAAAGCTAACTTCCTGGCAGTCCATTGTATGTGGTTATCAACATTTTTCATTTTTCTAATCTGGTTTGCCTCTGTGCCTGGTCCAAAGACAAGTATATAACCAGGTGTATTTACATTGACTTCAGTGTGTTATGGATCAGGCCCTGGGGTCATAAACACAAGCTAAATTTAAGCTGGGGCAATAGATTAATTTAAATCCTCTCTCATCATCTCCTGCAATTGTCTTTTATAATTCAAAAAAGAAAAGTCCAGTTCAGGAAACAGCATGTTCCTATGTTTCAGTTTCCACGAACAGATGCAGATTTGCTCACAGAAGTTGCTCACAGGCATCATAGTTCCTGATATACAATTAACTTCCTCAGTAGTTCAAGGAGTTTATTTTGACCTCACAGTAAAATGGATTGTAACATCTTCCTGCCTTTTCAGACAAAAGGGGGGGGGGGGAATCTGGGGGGGGGTTTGAATGAATGTACTAAGGTTATATGACTGCATATGGTTACCCACATTAGATTTATGGGGGTTATTTTCTCATCTAAATAAAACAGATTGGCCTCTGTAAGGGCTGGCTCAGAAGGGGAAAATTCAAGGAGCTCCCCATGAAAGAGCAAGAGACAATTGCAGAAAAAGGATTCCAAACGGGACAAAGCAAGGCACCGCCCCAGCCTTAATGTACTAAGGTTATATGACTGCATATGGTTACCCACATTAGATTTATGGGGGTTATTTTCTCATCTAAATAAAACAGATTGGCCTCTGTAAGGGCTGGCTCAGAAGGGGAAAATTCAAGGAGCTCCCCATGAAAGAGCAAGAGACAATTGCAGAAAAAGGATTCCAAACGGGACAAAGCAAGGCACCGCCCCAGCCTTCGAAAACAGGTCACTGGCATCCAAGTGTTTACAGAAAGCACAGCCTCCATGTTCCTTCTGAGCACTGGAGATGTGAGGGCGGGTTCGTGTCTCCTAAGGCACAACTCTTCCTGTGCTTCTCTCTGGGGTGCAGTGACTCTGGGGTATTTTGGGCATGAATCTAGCACAGATTGGCATGGACTAATGTCCTTCCTAGTGGAGGGATTCCATAGTCTTTCTGGAGTTGGTGGCTCTCAGCCCAGTAACCAGGCTATCATCAGAGGAATCATGAGAGCAGTCGGTACTGCTTGCCACTTCTCACCCTTAGGAAGGATCCCTGGGGCTGTAATGGATAAGATTTCACCTGCCACTATCTCAGTGGCATTGGTTTTGTGGCTATACATCTTCCCTCAGCTTCCTCCATTGCTGTCAACCTGGCACCTAACGCACGTGTGAGAGGAGGTGCCTGGTGACGTTTTGATCCATTCCATATAAACCTGTAATCCTCCAAAATGCACAACTGTCTTTTCTGACTCATCTTTAGTCCTTTGCTCCAGGTGGATTTGTGGACTCTTCTGATGTTGCACCAGCACCTGCCCCCTGGGCACTAGCAGTGGATGCACCACCTCTGTTTATGGATTGTGAAATGCACATTCCAGTGCCTCACACATATTCAGTACAGGTAAAAACCCCACAACCATCCACACTTGTAAAGGATCATGAATTGTGTGACAGGAGTGTCCCATTTGAAATCAGGCCCCTATTCATTCTGCTGGGTATTGTACATACACAAATTAAGTGCCTGTCCTGTCCCCAAAGAACTGATAAGCTAACAAGGCAAGACCAACAGAAAATGGGAGAAGGGAAATAACATTATCCCATTGTACGGATGGGCAGCTGAGACACAAAAAGAGGTCAAGCAATTTGCCTAAGATCCCACAAGAAGTCAGTGGCAGAGCCAAGACTGAGCCCAGGTTCAGTTCCACTTTTGTGCCTTAATACCTATGCTGACAGAAAATATTTCTAACCCTAAATCCAGCAGCATGTAACTGTCTGCTCTTCTTTAAGGGCTGGTGCCTATGCTAATTGAAATCAATGGCAGAACTCCCATTAGTTTAGTTGAGCAGCATCTTGGCCCCAGGGCATAGTGGTATCCCAAATACAGAAAGCTTGATTATATTCTGATTTTAAAAGCACTGTGTCACCATATTCCAGTTCTATGGTTTTGGTTATATATCTAGCACTTATGCCTATTCTGACACCGTTATGTTTTATAATAGCTGTTCTGGCTGAGAGGGGACATGACATAGCTTTCAAATACCTAAATGTTATTATAGGGAAGAGGGAGAAAAATTATTCTTCTTAATGTCTGATGATAGGACAAGAAGCAATGGGCTTAAATTGCAGCAAGGGAGGTTTAGGTTGGGCATTAGGAAAAACTTCCTGTCATGGTGGGTAACCACTGGAACAAGTTGCCTAGGGGGGTTGTGGAATCTCCATCACTGGAGATTTTTAAGAGCAGATTAGACAGACACCTGTCAGGGATGATCTTAATGATGCTTGGTTCTGTCATGAGTTCAGGGGACTGGCCTTGACTTCTTGAGGTTTCTTTTAGTTCTATGATTCTGTGATTCTGTAATTATATTTATTGCTTCTTCATGGCCTGATTTAGGATAAAAGAAAACCCAGGTTTTTCTGGCAGGTAGCATTGTTTTTGTTGCTTTAAATAATGATAGATTATTTTTAATAGCTTCAGATAAAGGATTAGCTTTTGTTTTTGGCAAGGAGTTGTTTTTACTGCTCCAGATAGTCTGAAGTGTGCATTTCATGTGGGCAGTCTGCCATGCAAAAGGATTTGTATCCACCCAACAAAACAAAGCAAGACTATTTCTGGAGTAAAACAAACGAAACCAGACAGAAAAGCCAACCCAACTGGTTTTGTGTGTGAACTCTGTAAATTAGGCATAAAAATATATGTCCTGCTTCCTGATGTTCCCGCTAACAAGGGGACAGAAGATCTTTGAGCCTGTATTTCAATGTAGGGATGATGGTCATCTTATGCTTTCTGTAATATGATCATTTAATTTCATGATGGAATCCTTGTCTGGGGTGGGTTTTTTGTTTTTTTGTTTTTTTTGCTACTGGGTTTCAAGCAAGACTCCCCTTACCTAAAGAGGTACCTAATACAGAGACGGGGTGAGGTTTAGGTGAGATTTATGACTTTTTGGGGATTAAAAAATAACCACCTATGGACTCAAAAAGCCACAAGCTACAATATTTCTCTTTCAAACAACCACTCTGTGACGTACTCCCCCCCCCCCTTTTTTTTGCTTTCAGGATTGTCCTAGTTGTCAAGGCCGTGGTAAAAATCGGTGCCACTCGTGTAATGGATGTGGAAAGGTATGTTATAGTGAAACTATAGAAATTCTCCTTCATGTGTCACTATTTCCTATGCAGTAAAATTCTATAAGGAAGGAGGAAAACACTTCAATTTCTTTTTAAAAAATACCCTGAAAAGTATATAAAAAACACTTGGCTCAAACTTCTCTCTTTCTGAGGTCTTGACAAGCAAATAACATCAAGTCATCTGAGAACAATAGTCTAGTAGGAACTGGTCCCACCTATAGGTCTGTTGGACATTCAATTCACATTCTGTCTTCCAGATTGTTGGAACAGATAAAGTTAGGACTTTAATAAGTATTGACGGACCATATGTCTTGAGCTTTTAAAAAAGGGACAGCTGTTCCCAGTCTTTGACAAATCTCTCACAGAAATGGAAAAGTCAGGAAGGAGATGTAAATAGTTGTGTAACAACTAAAGAATTGAAGGCTATGGAATTGATCCAAAGACTGTTCACATCACTGTGAATCTTTCTTTCAGTGGGAGTTGACCATGGTCCTTTGTTATTTGATAAAAACTTGATCCCAATTTATATTGACAAATGAGCTTGACCTTTCTATGACTCTAAGGGTTTCCATTAATAAAGGAGTGATTTAATCTAACTACAGTGCAACCTGTTTGAAAACTGAAGAAAATGACAGAAATCGGGAGGCTTAACAGAAATGACATCCTAATCAAGTTAGAGCAGATTTGTAACCAGAGCATTTGGGAAGGTTTTAAGACAGACGTTTAACTGCCAAGAGTGGCTTTTTATACTAGTTGCATTGTGTATTGTCTGCCTAGATATAATAAATGGAGGAAACAGAAATGCAAATATCTTAGTTGGTGAATGACTAGAGAGGAGAACAAGATGATATTAGAAGATGCCCTTAAGCCTGTACAGTACTTTGATGCTAAGATTTTGATAGCAGTTAATAAAAAGAAGGGTATGTCTACATTGGCTCCCTAGTTCGAGCTAGGGATGCAAATGTAGCCGACCAAAATTGCTAATGAAGCAGGGATTTAAATATCCCGCGTTTCATTAGTATAATCTTGCCCTGCGTTATTCCGCTCAACAGCTGATTTGAACCAGGAAGTCCGCTCCGGGACGCGTTAGTTCGAATCAAACCCCTTGGTTCGAACTAACGTTACTCCTCATTTTTTGAATTTCTAATTCACCCTTCTGTGCACAGGGTGAAATAGGTCCACTGAGGTGTCACTGTTCTGAGTTCCATATACTTGTATGTACTTTTGTTGTTGAGAAAGTGGATCTGACAAAATGAAAAGTGAAATGCTCACATTCTTTTCAGAGCAAAAATATGTTTTTCTTTATTTTTTAAATGTAGAGAAGGTGTACGGCTTGTAGTGGGACTGGCTGGCAAGACGCATCCAATCAGAGTTGTTTGTTTTGCTCAGGTTCAGGAAAGAGACGGTAAGAAACAAGCTAAAACACTAGATGGCAATTAGTATTTCTTTCACGGGTTTAGTTTACCAAATATCTCTTTAGTAGACCATCATTTCCTCCATGCTATTTGAAAATGGATGTAGGTGAAATGATGCCAGATGAATAAGAACAGATCTAATTCAGTGCCCATTGGAGTCAATAGGACTCTTTCCATTTATAACGAACATTGGTACCTTATATTCAAAGCTTACAAAGCACTTTGCAAACATTTACTAAGCCTCACCATACTCTTATGAGGTACTGTGGGCATTATTAACCTTGTTTTATGCTGGAGAGGCTAAGGCCACGTCTCAATTTACTGGAGGATGGATGCTCTGGCGATCAATCTTCCAGGGTTCAATTTAGTGGGTCTAGTAAAGACTCGCTAAATCAAACGGTGAGGGCACCCCTATTGGCACCAGTTCTCCTTGCAGTTATGAGGAATAAGGGAAGTCGATGGGAGTGTTTCTCCTAATAAACACCCCCGTGTGACCATCCCAGAAAATTGATGTAAAGTATGTAGACTCCAGCTATGCAATTCATGTAGCTGGAGTTGCATATCTTGCATTGATTTTCTCCACCTGTGTAGACTTGGCCTTAGACACAGAGAAACAGTGGGCCTGGTCTTTAACCACCTTGAATCATTTAAACTAGTTGAAAACAACTACAAAATGTGTATAAAATGATACTCTACACCTACTTTATGCATGTTGGTATTAATTTATTAGATCATTTTAGCACCCAAGGGACCCAAGTAAGGTCTGAAGACCCACTGTGCCTCTCTTACACTGTACAAATGCAGAGTAAGAGAGGGTACTTGGCATGAAGAGTTTATAGTTTAAATAGACAAGTCAGACAACAATTCTTCCCTCTCCTTGGTGTCTGGTGAAAATACACACATGCTGACTGGCGATGTCTGACTAACGAACCCACTGAAATCAGGCAGCAGACTGCTCCTATCCATTTTTCTGGAAGAAAACGAGAGTGATATAAAGAGTCAGGAATCATGACCTCACTTCATCTAGGGCAGGCATTTGTGTGTGTAAAGAGAGTGCATAAATGTTGTATTTCTCCTGTAGTTGCTCAAATTGTCATGGTTGTGGGTGGAGGAAATGCATCCGGTGCTATGGAAAAGGCCTCTTGCTGTATCATTCTGAACTTACAATCACTTGGTAAGTTGAAATCAATTGAACACAAGTTTCTACAGTTGGGGTATCTACAATTATTGGCCATTCTCAAGCATGCTGCAGTTACTGAGCTATAACGCTGAGCCAGATCCTCAACTGGTGTAAATGAGGATTGATCTGCTGAGGTCACTCCTGTTAAATGCTATGCCATGGCTAGGAGTACTGACTTCAATGGAGCCATGCTGATTGACACCTACCTGCAATGTGGCCCAACATATTAAGGTTTATGGTTCAAATGTGAGATCTTTATGCCTAGTCATAGTGACAGCATTTTCCATGTTGATATTTTCCATGATGATCCATGATGATATTTTCCATGTTGATCTAGGGAGGAGATAAGAGTATGGCACAAAAGTTGCCCCTCAAGGCCAACTGTGGCTTTTCCACCATAATCTTGTGTGTATCCAAAGGCATGATTTTGGCCCAGGGCTTGTGAAATGTGTTGCACAGTAGGAGGTTGCATTGTATAAAACAAATGATACCAATGCTAACATTTTAAAGGCGAGAAATAGAAACTAATCTCCCCTTCCTCATTTTCCAACAGGAAGAACAGCATTGCTGAATATGTTGTTGACAAGAATTCTGGGTTTCCTATTTATCACCTGCAGGAAGTCACTGGGAAGGAAATATTTAGTGATGAAAATCAAGTGGTAAATAAGGACACGATTGTGTTAAAATTATTTTATCTTGGGTCCACTGAAACTGGAGAGCACACTGTCATGTTTCTGAACTAGCTCTCTATGCACCACGTCATTTTAAAGGGACAAATATATAAAATGAATGGCTGTATATTTTATGCTAAATGCATAATTTCTGTAGGAGGATTTCACTGCACATTAGTAAAAATGTGACAGCAATTTTCCAATGATTGTACAATAGAGTGGTTAACAGCTATCGCCATATCATTATGGGCAACATTTTATAATAAATTGATATTTTGGTGATAGCTATCAATCCTTGAGGATGGGCATTATAAGAGAGACAGGATGGAACCAGAGCACTGGATGTGAACTACTTGGAATTTGGGAAAAGTTGGCATCCATAGAGGAACTTTGCAGCTTGGGAGCATTTTTTGTTACAGCACGAGATGGAGAGAGGAATTTCCCAGAAAGGTAATTGGTGCGCCCTTCGACAGCTACAGGGAGATGTCCAGGAGTCAGGATGATGGCTTTGTGCCATCTAAGAATTTCGTTATCCTACAATCATCCCGCTGTGCTGACTTAGCTGCAAGTCTGCTCCGTGCTGGGGATGTTGGTGTTGCAGCATAGTTCAGGATCTGGGCAGCTGTATTTAAAATGAGTTTAAAACGGATTTATCCCTTGGAGCTCTCCCATTTTGCCAAGTGCCAGTCAAACACATGCTTAGGAGGGCACAGACATTGTACATGCATCTGCAGTGGGCTAAAATGAAAATATACCCAAGGAACTAAAGTTTTTTTTACCAATTACCCATAACATGATAATATTGCATTTTGGAGGGTATTTGTGTATGCCCTTCATAATGCTGTCTTTATTTTCACAGGTGTATCCTATAGTGAATTTCCCTGAGCCAGCCATCGATCAGGGTTCAAAATCATGCATTGCGCAACACCAAATGCAGTTTGCCTCCAGTAGTCGTATATTGAGACAGGTGGGTGAGATGCACCAAACAGATGTGAGCTTATTACCCCAATAAAGGGCAACTGGGGGAGAATATTATCTGTGCATGGCTAATCTCCAGCAGTTGCAAACTGTGAAACAACCCAATAAAAATCACACAAGGTCATCCAGTCAGTGCCCTTTACTCAAGAAGAACTGTGTGTTATCATCACAACAAACAAAAGCCTTCCCAAAAACATCAACATACAGAATATTCCTCCCAGTTTAAGGAATCTTAACTTAGACCGACAGGACCACATTAAGGGTGCATCTACGCAGCACCCGAAACTCGAAATAAGTTATTTCGAAATAGCTTATTTTGTCATTTGGCGCTGTCTACACAGTACCAAATTCTGAAATAAAACACTATTTTGAGCTATCCCTTACTCTTACTCCCTAACTTCGCTGTGTAGACCAACATTCAACCTGCCTCTCTCCCGTTCTGTTCCTGTAGGCACAGCAGCTTTTTTGCAGCACCTCCCTGCAGTATCTTTGTGAGCCCAAGTTGCTTGTACCTTACGGTCTGGCTTCATCTAGACTTCAGGCTTCTTTCGGAAGAAGCTTTTCCGGAAGAGATCTTCCGAAAAAACTTCTTCTGCAAGAGTGTCCACTCTGCCAAAGTGCATCACAAAAGTGATCTTCTTTTTCAAAAAATAGCATCCACACTGAATGGACACTGTCTCTAATTTAAGGTGTGATTACTATGGATGGAATGGCCACCAGGGCACCTGTGCTTTTTCCTCTTTCCTCTTCTTTCACAAGAACTCCCTCTTCCCTGTCCACACATGCCTTTTTCTGAAAGGGCTCTTTCGGAAAAAGGCTTCTTCCTCATAGAAAGAGGTTTACCAATGTTGGAAAAACCCCTCTGTTCTTTCAATCTTTTTTTTTTTCCGAAAGAACGCAATTTCAGTGTGGATGTAAATGTAGTTTTTTTCAGAAAAATGGCCATTTTTATGAAAAAAACCTCTGTAGTGTAGACCTATCCTCTACCAGAGAGGTTGCATCTTGTCATATGTTTGTGCAACAGAGATTTGGCAATCTCATCTGACTTTCACTGGGAGTAAATCTATAAAAATCAGTGAACATCCACTCATGTAAAATCAATGTAAGTGTATTCAGTCCCCAATATTTTTTTTTTATAAAAGAAGGTTCAGTAAGTTTGAAAAGCTTGCCTCACAACCACTTGGGGATGGAGTAATTTAAATGGTATAAGTCTATCCAGTGACATCCACTCTCTTTAAATAACATGGGGCATGTCTACACAGCAGGGCAAAAGTTGAATTAAGCTATGCAACTTGAGCCATGTCAGTTGCACAGCTGAAGTCAAAATAACTTAATTCAGCTTTTGGCGCAGTCTACACAGCAGGAAGTCAAAGGAAGAATACTCTTTCTTTGACTTCCCTTTCTCCTCGTGAAATGAGGTTACGGGAGTTGGAGTAAGAAGTCCTCCAGCTCGCCATTATTTCAAAATAATGGCTTGCTGTGTGGACATGCACCGTATTATTTCAGAATAACGTCAGTAATTCTGAAATAACACTGCTGTGTAGACATATCCATGGTGTGCAACCAAGGTATAAATACATTATGGACAAAGGATACATGGGAAAGGAATTGAAACCATGCCAACAATTCATCATTGCTGTAGGAATTCTGAGATGTGTGAAACACCATGCACAGATAGGTATACCAATGTTTCTCAACCAAGCCATGTATGCACTAGGGCTACATCTACACTACATGCTTCTTGGACAAGAAGCCTTTTGCACAAGAGTTTTTGCACGAAAACTTCATGCGCAAGAGCATGTCCACACCTCAAAACGCATCGCAAAAGCGATGTGCTTTTGCGCAAGAGAGAATCCACACTGCATGGACGCTCTTGCGCAAGAAAGCTCTGATGGCCATTCACAGAATTGTGCAATAGCTGTAGCGCTAAAAGCAGTTATGCCTCAGAAAAGGAGGTTTACCTACACCGGCAAAAGCCCTCTGTTCTGCCATTCAACTGCCCAAGAGCTCATTTGAGGTATGGACGCTCCACAGATGTTTTTGCGCAATAACCATGTAGTGTAGACATAGCCTAGGAGATTATTTCAAATTTACTAAATTTTACTTTTGGGCACCAGATTTTACAAATTTGAACTTCACTTTCCCTCATTACGGGAATCATCAAATTAATCCGAGGCAGGATCCATTAATGCGGACACACTACCACAGACTCAGAGCCCCAGGAAGCACTCTGAGGAGTTGCAGTAGTCGTCCTAATGGCCAATCAGTTCAAATTAGTGGCATAGGAGCATCCACACTAATGTTATTTCATACTTACAAGCTCAGGAATAGCATTATTCCTTATAAAAAGCAGGAATACAGAGTTGGAATTCCATGACCCCTTACTCAAATATTGGAATAAATTGCCAAGGGAGGTGGTGGAATCTCCCTCTCTGGAGATATTTAAGAACAGGTTAGATAGACATCTGTCAGGGATAGTGTAGACAGAGCTTGGTCCTGCCTTGAGGGCGGGAGGCTGGACTCGATGACCTCTTGAGGTCCCTACCAGTCCTATTATTCTATGATTCTATGATACTCCGGAATAATGGGCTTGGTAGTTTGGACGCACCACTTACAAATTCGATGTTGGGGGAAGGGTTATTTCGGGCTAAGGCCCTAGTGGAGAACAGGCCTCACTGATCCTGGGACTAGCAGTGGGCCAGTCCTGAGATCTATTGGTTTTGGATCCGGCTCCTTAAAACTAATGAGTCAGGTTGTGATCCACTTGCTCAGGAGGAGTAGCATTTTACTGTGAAGTGACTCCCAAACTCAGCTTTTAGGGTTATTGTCAGATATAGCCATATATTTCCTTTGTCTTTTCCAGAAACAAACTATCGAGCTGATTCCACTCACCAAGGTAGACTATGACTGGAGAGGAAAAATCTATTCCTTCTATGTCTTTGGAAAGGAAAATAAAGTGTATACAGAGGACTACCCAGGAAAGTGCTGTTGTTCAGTCATGTGATTCACAGATAAGTCCTAAGTTCTGCTAAGAAAGAAACAGCCCATCAGGCAGCAGAGCAGATCTGGAATTATTTATTCTCCTTAACAGATGGAGCAACTCCTTCCTTTCCAGCTTTCACTGGACATCAGATTTAAAGCTCTTCACCCACAGCATTATCATGGACAGTGATGGGTGTGTCTCGGTGCAATTGCAATTTATGCAGGAGATTACAGTGTTTCAATTAAACAGCAGAACACTTCTTTAATGGCTCTGTGTTTATAAAGATGAAGCTGTGTTTATAAAGAAGACGCATTGTGACAATGAAGAGTGAGACAGTGCTAGTATATTGTATGATGGAGATTTGAATTGGAGCTTTTGGTTTTCTTCTCCATAGTTTTGCATTGATACATTTGGCTTGCTAAATGTCTCCTTTAAGTTCCTCTGCGTGAAATGCATAGTCTAAAGGATGGAAATATAAACAGCTTCAGGTAACTTTCTTACAGGGTTTAAAATGAAGGCATGTAATTTTCCAAATACACTATGGCTGTGTCTAGACTGGCCAGTTTTTCTGGAAAATCAGCCGCTTTTCTGGAAAAACTTGCCAGCTGTCTACACTGGCCACTTGAATTTCCACAAAAGTACTGACTTCCTACTGTAAGAAATCAGTGCTTCTTGCGGAAATACTATTCTGCTCCCATTCAGGCAAAAGTCCCTTTTGAACAAAGCTTTTGCGCAAAAGGGCCAGTGTAGACAGCTCAGATTTGTTTTCCGCAAAAAAGCCCTGATCGCGAAAATGGCGATCGGGGCTTTTTTGCGGAAAAGCGTCCATGCCAATCTAGACGCGCTTTTCCGCAAAAAGTGCTTTTGTGGAAAAGTATCCGTGCCAATCTAGACGCTCTGTTCCGAAAATGCTTTTAACGGAAAACTTTTCCATTAAAAGCATTTCCGGAAAATCATGCCGATCTAGACGCAGCCTATTATTCTGTAACAGCTCTCAGAGTCAGGGGAACAGGTGTGTGTTCACAAGAAAGTGGGGGATGAGATTGGTTAGGAGCAGGTTAGGTAGTGATGTTAGCACATGTCCATGTGTAACCTATGCAAGAGGAATGTGGGTTTTTGTCTCCCCTGTCACAAGTGAGCCACACAATAGCCACCAATCTACTTTAATTGGGAGGAGTTACTCCTCTCGCTCATCTGATAGCAACTCATCTCATATTTTTAGCTCTGTCAGATGTGGGAGCTCCTTGCAACCAGGAACATGGACTGCTCTGTGTATTGGATAGCACCAAGCATGCAATAGACTATTCATAAAATAAACACTGGAGATGAGCTACCTAGGTCGAGGATGTTGGCTCCCTGACACCAGAGCTGTTGTGAATGAATGGTGGAATGGCAGCACTCTCTTCAAGCATTTCACAGACTGGTTATGATCACACCTTTCTCTCTGGCCTGCATATTGTATATTAGATGTGACCTCCAACAGCCAATGAGTACAGGAATGGTGTTCCCAGCAGGCTGCTGGCTATCTCCTGAGGAGGTGCAAGTCGCATAGTTACATCACACTGCAATGCACTGTTGTCACTGCCTGCATTGCTATCATTGGCCTACCTGTCTCGCAAGAACTTTAGTCCCTGGAACAGCAGCACCTTTTGGGAAGTGACATCAGAATCAAGCCCTACAGCAGCATCATGGCCAGATTAAAAAAGATTTAGATTCTGCAGTGCTGGGTTAAGGGGGGACCCTCCAGAAAGATCCCTGGGCTGCCAAACATCCAGATATTTTTGTGAGGCCCCTTTCGCCTAGTGATTAGGCTGCAAGCTCTAAAATCCCAGTGCATTATCCGGCCCTGCTTGGTAGGGGTGGGAGGGACGGGGCTGCATGCGTTGCCATCCCCACTGCTGGATGGGAGTTGCATCACTGTATGCGCAAGTGGAAGTGCCATCTCCGCACTGCCTTCACTTGCAGGCTCCGCTGGATAGGACATGGTTTTGAAAACTGGATACCTTTTAGAGGGTAATATGAAGCCCTACATACTCTGGCCCTCATAATAGGCTGGTCAAAATTTTTCCAACTGTTTTTGACAGAAAATTGGGTTTTTGACTAAGGATTTTGTAGAAAGTGCCTGCTTTCCATGGAAATTTTTGGTTTTTGTCAAAATATTTTGGTCAAAACCCAAAAGTTTGGGCCCAGAATGGGCACTGTTATGCTTCATAAAAGTGATAATTTGCATCTCCTGTCCTCATTTTATGTGTTGTGATTCCCTGCAGGACTACATCTCCCATAATACATCATAGTCTCCCCTGACAATAAGGTGACACCTGTATAACTTGGAATCCCTGGCAACAGTGCATTCTGGGATATGGTGTCCAGCTACAGAGTCTGGTACGTGGGGGGTGGAGGGAATGGGGAAACAAAAAGCAAACTGCAAGTCCAACTCCCATTTTCAGCCAAAACTTAACTATCTCATGGAAAATGTAGATGGAAATAGCAATTTGATTCATTTAAAAATTTCAGGGGCAAGAGAAATTTCAGTTCACCTCTGCCTCGCAGCCCTAATGTAAGCAATGTCAGAATCTTACTGATGAAGTGTTTTGTTTAGCATTGGAAAAACTACATGCTAAATTTTAAATTGCTGAACACCCGAACTCTGTAAGGAATAAAGCACATGTGTGAGATCTGGCAGCAGTTCTTTCCTTTCCAATGTGAATTATTTATTGAAGCATTTGTACCATATCCATCCCTGTTACTGCCAATCGCAAACATTCAGAGTTCAGGAGTCACCTTCCTCCCCCAAAATAAAGAGATGTTAATAAATAAATAAATTAAATGTGTAGGGTTTTTTTAATTTGCCTTCAGGCTTTTTAACCTTTAGGGGGCACTTCGATCATGTTTCCAAGCTACTTTCTGCAACCATCGGAGATGGAAATTTTCATTAAATTACTATGGAAGAAAAAAGGTGAGAATTGCACCTAAATCCATATTTCCAGGACTTGGGGCTTTACGTAAAAAGGTCAAATATAATGCTGTAATCGCTGTGTGTCTCATTCAATCATCTCTGCACCATATTTGCATTTAGGAAATTCTTAAAACAGCAGTTTTAGGACACTGAGGTTTCTCTTGTTAATCCGTGGCAGCTGGAAAGATGAACAGCTCCCAGCTCAGAACTGTCAAAGTTAAACAAGGCCTATTGAACTAGAAAAACAGATGACTCCTAGCATCCAAGATACATTTATTTGTTCCTGTCTGAAGTTTGTATGATTACATATTTGCATTTAGGAAATTCTTAAAACAGCAGTTTTAGGACACTGAGGTTTCTCTTGTTAATCCGTGGCAGCTGGAAAGATGAACAGCTCCCAGCTCAGAACTGTCAAAGTTAAACAAGGCCTATTGAACTAGAAAAACAGATGACTCCTAGCATCCAAGATACATTTATTTGTTCCTGTCTGAAGTTTGTATGATTAGTCTCCTTTAATCATTGTTCATCAGGCATTCCAAAACCTGACACACTTATCTTTTGGGTACAGCATAGAATGCCAATGTTCCTCATGGAGTCGAATAGAACTCTGCCACCATCAGTGTGTTTCATTTTCTGCCTTAGCCAAACTTTCTTCTGGCCAAACAAACATGTATGTCGTCTTATAAAGAAAATTCCAAATGGTTGTTAACAATTGAGGGTACATTTTCAAAACAGCACACAGAGGTTTTATAGCTATATGTCTCCCATTGATTTTACTGACTTACATTCTGGACAATGCCTTCAAAATAGCAGGGAGTGTGTTCATTTGGTAGAGCATAGCACTTAAAGCCAGGGCACTGCCTTTCCTAGCTTTGTCACTGATTTGCTGAGGGCCCGTCTACACTACAGGGAAGATCGACACTGCTGCAGTTGATCTTCCAGGGTTCGATTTAGTGGGATTTAGTGAAGATGCACTAAATCAAACTCTGAGAGTGCCCCTATCCGTGCTGGTACTCCTACTCCTCATGACTAGTAAGTGAAGTCAACGGGAGTTTGCTCCCATCGACCTCCCACTGTATGGATGGTGATTTAAGATACATCGACTCCAGCTACGCAGTTAACATAGCTGGAGTTGCATGCATGTCTTAGGTACACCTTCTTCTCCAGTGTAGACCAGGTCTGAGTGAGCTTGAACAAGTTATTTTATCTTTTTGTACCTTATACTGTACTTCAGTATTTGGAGATAATAGTATTAATCTGCCTCGCAAAGGTGTTGGACTATGAGATCCCCACATGAAGCATTTATTTAAAAGTATTAATTTAAATAGAAATCCAGGAAGAGTTTTTCCACTTCAAGAGTTCAGGGAGAGACATCAACTTGTTCCAACTTACAAGCACTTTCCATAAGGAATTGTATGTGCTACTTCCCAGAATCTTTGTATTTCACAGATTGTTTTTTATTTACACCAGATTATCCTGCTAAAAGGGATCTAGGGGTTTCCCTTGCTAATATTTACTCTGTAATTTGTTGTTCTCTGGGGGGGAGTTGATAAGTCAATAACAATGTTATCACAATTTAACAGGCTGGGTTTTTTGTTTTATTTACATCATACAGCTCACATGCAATGAAGGGTGTGAGCATTTCTCAATAGTCGGGTTTTTGGATGGGCCGTTATTCTATGAGCCCTAATTCTACCACTGGCAAAACCCATGTGGCCCAAACCAGAGTTTAGTCAACAATGTCTTAAAATAAAAAGGGCCGTTATAAAAGTGCATTCATTCCCCACCCACAATTCCAACATCAGAAAATACCCAAGTTTACAATGCCTCTAAAAATATGAATAGCAAACAGAAAATAATATCAGCTGGCAATACCAAGTGTATCTATATAGGTGTCGATTTTAGATGCAACCCTGACAAAGAGAAATAAGACGCTAGTTTAAGAGTTCCATTATTGGGATGGAAATTCCATTACAATATATATGTTCAGCCAGGTATAGACAATAATTTTAGTGATACCACTAATACATGTAATTGTAAAATCATCTTAACAGTCAAGGAAGGTAACTTTACACATATATCCTGTTAGCCTGAAATGAGAATATGCAACTAGCTCATTTGCTATTTCTACCATGGCTGGTTTTAAAAAAAATCTGCATTACAAAAAATGCTGTGACTTTTCTTTTTAGTTTTGAAATTTCAAAATTGGAATCATTCTAACCATTTTTAGATTTAAAAAAAAAAAACAGAAAAAACAACAATTTTAATTTTAATCCAATTTTTAATTTTTATATTTTTTGCTTTTTTTAAATTTCAGTTATAAAATTTGAAAAAAACTCAGTCTGTTCTATTAATTAGTAAAGGGAAGTGAGAGTTGTAATGGCAGTGAATTTAGCAAAATTGGCCAAACTCAATGAATGTCTCCAAACACTTCGGTTCATTCATTCTGGTTTCTCTTCACTCACTTGTGCTATCTTTTCTACCAAATCCCTAGGTGTTTGGGAACTAATATAGTGTACTGGGATTCTACTTAAGTCCCACCCAAAACTTAATTTCTGCCAATAATTCCAAGTTTTTGAAAGGGACCAGCAGTAAAATAATTAATGGTGACATTTAAA